TCCCCGGTGGCGGGTCGTGCAACAAAGCGTGCCCCTCCTTGGCCGACGTCGCCTACGGAGGGTGGAAGTCCCAAAGCTCGGCCAAGGGTCCGGCTTACCTCCACTGAAATAGAGCGTCGCCAGGGAGATTTGTTTAGTGCAAAACCCTATGTGAACGCTTAAAGCAGATGTAAGCTGTACCGACGGATCTTAACCGTGCATCCCACATACAAGCATACCTAGCATGCCAGTGACGTTTTTACAGCGGAACATGCGTGGCTTGAGGGCCAACATGTCGGATCTACACACACTCTTATCTTATCGTAACCCGGTTGTGGCATGCTTACAAGAAACAAAGGTATCTGATGACACTCACATTAACATCAAATGTTACAGCGTCTTTCGGAAAGACGTGAGAACTGACACGATCGCCCATGGTGGGGTGGCGGTTTTAGTTCATCACAGTATACCGTGCCCTTCTGTAAGTCTTAACACTGACCTTCAAGCTGTTGCTGTCGTCGTCGACCTTGGGTCGCTGAGGCTGACTGTCTGTTCTGTCTGCCTCCCTCCTGCTGAGGAAGTACCGGATTCGACACTACAGTCCATCTTCGATCAGCTTCCATCGCCGTTCTTGTTGCTAGGTGATTTCAACTCCCATAGCCCTTCGTGGGGCTGCAGTCACACAAGCCGCCGAGGCCAACATCTTGAGCGTTTGCTGAATGCAAATAATCTTTGTGTTAACACCGGCCGGCATACCCATATATCTCTGCCGTCCGGCACTATTTCAGCGATAGATCTTTCAATCTGCTCCTCGTCCCTTTTCTGTCGGTTGTCTTGGTCCGTTCAGAGCACTACATATGGGTGCGACCATTTCCCAATATGGCTTGGGATGAATGCTGGACACCCAGGCAGGAGGTCTTCCTGCTGGAACCTTCGACGTGCTAACTGGCAAATGTTTACTGACGAGTGCCATATTAGAGTGCAGCCGACCGAGGACGACAATGCAACGTCTCTTGCACAACAAGTGACATCCACAACTGTCGACACTGCAAGGTCTTGCATTCCCTTGACATCACCTGAGCCGCGCAGGATCCCTGTTCCCTGGTGGTCAGAGGACTGCAAGGCGGCAATTCTTAAGCGGAAGCGGGCGTTCAGGGTTTTTAAGCGTTCTGCAACGACCAACAACCTTATCGCATTTTAAAAGGCCAGAGCATTTGCGAAACGCACAATACGTAAGGCAAAGTGTACATCATGGAGGGAATATGTAAATGGTTTAAATCGTCACACCCCACTGAGTGCAGTGTGGCAGCGAGTTAGTCGCATTTCCGGTAGGAGCGTCTCCACTGCAGCTCCGGTGTTGAAAGTGGCGGGAATCACGATATTGAACATACAGGAAGTTTCCAACAAAATAAGTCTCGCACTTGCAGAAAGGTGCCGACATGGAACAGACGACCCACGCTTTATTCGTTACAAGGAACAAAGTGAGAAGACGGCAATCAATTTTAGAATTCCTGACTCAGAGATTTATGAGTACAACCAACCATTCACTGTCATGGAGCTCTGCACTGCTCTTAAGAGAGCTAAGAGTGTGTCGTCTGGATTGGATAAAGTCCACAATGATGTGCTGAATCACCTAAAGAAGGAGTCCCTCCATGCCTTACTCTCACTTTTCAACTACATATGGTTGCAAGATGACTTCCCGGAGTCGTGGCGGGAGGCCATTGTAGTCCCGATACAGAAGCCCGGAAAGGATGGTTCCGACCCACTGCACTATCACCCAATTTCGCTGACTTCATCCCTATGCAAAGTGCTAGAGAGGATCGTGAATGCTCGTCTCATGTGGTACCTTGAAACCCACGGCTGTCTTTCCAAAGTGCAATGCGGGTTTCGGAAGAACCGATGCACTGTTGACCACTTAACGATCTTAGACACAGCCATACGACATTCTTTTAAACAAAGACGTCACACCATAGCAGTCTTCTTTGACATTGAGCGGGCTTATGATACCACCTGGCGCCATGGCATTCTAAGCAAAGTACACAAGTGTGGACTCCGAGGTCACATGGCACTCTTCATTGAAAACTTTTTACGTCGTCGGTTCTTCCGTGTCCGAGTGGGTGGCATGCTATCGGATCGCTATGAACAAGAAAACGGTGTTCCTCAAGGGAGCGTCCTTAGCGTAACCCTCTTTGCGCTGATGATCGATGATATCGCCGACTGTCTGCCACCTACCATCAGTCGGTCACTGTTTGTGGACGGCTTTGCCATCTGGTGTGCGGCATCCACAACGACGTCTGCTGAGAGGCAGCTTCAGTTATGCCTGACTCCACTAACTGAGTGGAGCCTTAAGAATGGCTTCAAATTTTCGACCACCAAGACTAAGTGCATGCACATCTGCTCACGGATTAGAGGCTGTAGAGACCCGGAGTTGAGACTCTATAATGCCACTATCCCAGTTTGTAACGACATTTGTTTTCTGGGCCTCACGTTTGATCGTCGGCTCACGTTGAAGCAACAGTTTAAGATGGTTAAGACTAGGTGTCTCAAGCCCATGAACCTCATGAAAGTAATGTGTCGTATGACCTTTGGAGCCGATAGAAGCACCCTGTTGAACCTGTATAGGGCCCTAATTCGATCAGTCATCGATTATGCTAGTCCTGTCTACAATTCAAAGCGGGTTTTGGACACAATCCACCATACATGTGTTCGTATAGCCACTGGGGCGTTTCGTACGACCCAAACAAGAAACTTGCTGGTGGAAGCGAATGAACCGCTCTTGCCTCTTAGGAGACAACGAGTTACTTTGAATTACGCCATAAAGGTTTCACAATTTCCGTACCACCCAGCCTTTAACTTCATCTTCTCTCAGACGTTACTCCGTTCTTTTTTTAGGGGGCGGCCCACGTCATCGCGGCCGATGTGCCTGCGCGTCCGGGACTGGCTAGACGAGTCGCTTATTACGCTGGATGACATTACTCCGCACACTCTTCGGGACCCAGCTTCGTGGAGACGTCTGAGTATTAAGTATGATTTGGAACTCTGTCAGCATCGTAAAAATGGCACTTCACTACGAGAGTTCCTCACGTATTCGTTGGAACAGATTTCACAATACGCGAACTCATTACAAATATTTACCGATGGGTCCAAGGGCTCAACAGGAACGCGTTGCACATTTGTTTGCGGTGGTACGTAGCGTAGGCCTATGCCTCCCGCAGCACCTGTCAGTTTTTTCCTCAGAACTGTTTGCTATTTTAGCAGCGCTTCAGTACGTTGCTTGTCGTCCTGAAAGGGATGTAGTCATTTGGACCGACTCACGTAGTGCACTTTTATCATTAGACCCGACGGCGATGTCACATGACCACTCATTTTTGACGCGCTCAATTTGGGAGGAACTGGAATGGCTGGACAACACTCCCCGCCGTATCACATTTATGTGGGTCCCCAGCCACATAGGAATAATGGGAAATGAAAAAGTCGACGCAGCAGCGAAAGCTGCGGCGTGTCAGAGAAACCCAATACCAATTTATGTACCCGCTCGAGATCTGAAGACAGTCATTTCCAAATACGTCCGCAATATGTGGCAGCACATGTTCGACCAACATGTTCACGCCTTCAGGGAAATCAAGCCCCAACTGGGTGATTGGGAATCCTCCCATCGCCGAAGCCGCTTCCAGGAAGTCGCCCTTTGTGGGCTTCGGTTGGGTCATACATATGCAACACACTCGTTTCACTTGACGCGTAGGGATGTGCCACGGTGTGATAGATGCGGGGACCGGTTGTCTGTTGAACATGTGCTCGTCTCATGCCGGCACCTTGAGACGGAGAGGCGACGATTTTTTTCCACCAGCGCCCTTCATCGGTTACTCGGTCGAGACCCATGTGGTGACCTTGGAGATATACTCGCATTTTTAGCACACATTGATTTTGACGTTATTTTTACTCACTTCTCAGTGTAAGTGCGCCAGTGATACCACCTGTTATTAGTTGACAACATACTTATCGCGTCGTCGCAGAGGTAGCTAACCGTCATCGAGTGGGCGCAAAATGGCCCTGATGCCGACGCGCCCTTAAAAACCAAATCACCACCACTGGGTAAGTTTTCGTACTGAAAGAAGGTCATTCAGAAGTTGTATCTCAAAAAAGAAAGACGTGATCTCCAAAACCTTATGAAGCTGGGTATGAACTGCGTATGTATCTGGAGGTTACAGCTGTTCACAGATATAGTTTGAGCCCTTTTCTCACTAATCAAGGTATGCGGGAATTGAGATTAAAAGCTGATGCAACTATCTATACTCTCTCTTAACCTGCATAAGTGGTTTAGAGGAGAGGGCACAGTTACTTGTGATCGATCCTTGAATGTGCCCCTGGTAGCACTAATGGTTCTTGATTTAGATTGACGATCAATAGGCATGTATGGACCGCTGGGAACGGGTGGGGTGAGGGTTGGGGGGGGGGGCAGCAGAGGCTGCTCCCTAAATGTTTATAAACATAATATAAACGCAAAACATGCACAAAAGGTGTGAAAAACATGAATGGAAATAGGTCTGTAGATTCAGAAATGCAACATAATCTTGCATTATTGCCCTGCACTGTACTTATGTGCAAAATCAAAATACTGACAACGGTCTTCTGACGCGAAGTAGATTTTACTGTCCTCATTATCTGTCAAATTTATTTGCATGATTTTAGTCATTATTACTAGCTACTTCAGGCTGCACCACACCTCAATGCACAAGGTTGCACATCACACATGATTGCCGAAGGATGAGCCACTGATGCGGTCTCGTTGTCGATGCGGGGATACAGTTCCCCATTCAGTTTGGGAGTTGGCTCTGTCCCTTCCCCTCACACTTGGGCTTCAGCCCCCACCCCACTCGACTTGGGCCCGAGCCTCCCAGCTTTGCGAACAATGTCATCTAAATATTGGAAGAAACTTAGGGGCAGGCAGCCTCATTTTCTGCTGCCCAGCCCCCCCCCCCCCCCACCCCCACACTCATTTTGCGGAACTACGCACTCTGGCTACGGGACTGGGCGACACACGTTCATATATATTCTTTCAGAGACAACATCGAGATGCACTGTCACAGCTAACCATTTCAAACAACAAACAACGCTTGGAGCCGTGCAAGCTACTGATGTGGTTCAGGTTCATATCTGCATGTACGGAACGGCGCTCTGATCCGGCCAGAGGCTTTTCAGTACCACAGGCTGTTTTCAATGATTTGCAACGCATATTCGATACAATATCGCTGGTCGTCGCTTGTGGCGCGCTCGCCCTTGCTTTATTCAATCTTCGGATGTCCGGTGTTCTTCGTGCAAGATATGTTTATCGTTGCGGATGGACGGCGCCTGAGATGATCAGTTTTGCTGCACAGCAACATGCGTGAAGGCGCTGCACCGACAGTTATGGCTGATAAATTAAACTCAAATTGATGGTGATGATTTCGATTATTCATGCATGGATAATACATATGCCTCAGACTGGCTGAGCTCTTAACTTTGGTTAGTCGCCCCCGTGTTCATCGCCAGCATCATCATCATCATCACTGTCGCTGTCATCATCATCATCATCATGATCTCCATTGCCTTGTGAGTTCGAATCCCCAATTTCATTTCGGCCTGGGGTGCCCGCAGGCCTATGTCCCCCTCTGCCACCAGAGCCTAACGCTCCAGATCCGAACAATCCGCCTGGCCCTGCGAATCCACCCAAAGCACCCGACCCTCCAGGTCCGACCGATCCGCCGGGTCCGACCGATCCGCCGGGTCCGACCGATCCACCAGGTCCACCGGGGCCGCGGGATCCGGCCTGGCCTGGCCTGGCGGCAGGCCGCCGCGCCGGGCCGCCGTGGGCGTGGGGCCGCTTTCTGGCCGGCTCACAGACCAGTTCCACCGGGCAGGGCGCGCGCACGCACGTCAGCGGCTCCTCCACACACTTCTCGCCGGGCCCGCAGATCTTGTTTGAGCAGGTCTTCTCTAGTACGAAGCGGCAGACCGGGGTGGGCAGCAGCTCACAGAACTCCGTCGGAGCTATGCATATTCCACACGGATCTGGGAATAGTGCGACAACATTGCAGCCTGGCAACTGACAATTTGATCGCATGAGGCTGGCCTAAGGCCGCCAGTGGCCGCCATTTATAACGTTACGAAGTAAGTCCGCGTCAATGTTCCAAATCCTTCCTTAATACCTAGTAATAAGTTCACGATTATTTTCGTTAAGCATTTTTGATTAGCAACTTTACTGCTCAACCACATCTTTTCTCCGTATCAATGAGACTCAACATCTTCACGTACGGCTGCGACGTGCAATCTCTTGGCGTGCGACATCACGGCATTGATGCAGGCCACCAGTCTGTACTTTGCTGCACAGTCACCAGCTCGCACAGGTGTACTAATGTTGGTTGAGCTGTAAGATGCTAAGCTCATTTGCGAGGAAAATCACATGCAAAATATGTGATTTTCAAACATAGGTCTTGCCTTCTGCACTCTAATGAATTTAGGAAACACCACTCCTCCTAACACTACTTAAACACTAAACCACCAAATCACACTGAAGGCAAAGCCAGAGTCCCGAAGGGAAGCTTGAGAGCGGGGCTCATCCGCACCGAAGCTACTCACTGTCTTTGACGCATTTCGGCTTGGGGTGGCAGGGCCGCGAAAGGCACACATCCTGCTGTAGGATACACTCGAGGCCGACCGGGCAGGTGGTGTCCGAGCACGTGGGCGGTGGGTGGCGCACGCACACCGAGATGTGTCCCAGGCGGACACACTCGTTCGGAGGTAGGCACTGCTGGTCGGCGCAGAAGGTGCGGGACCCTCCTGGCGAGAAGGCGCAGGTGACTCAGACACGCGGGACGCTGTGGCGGACGCAGCGGAGGCGACGGTGGCGCAGTCGCCGAAGACAGTGGATGCATAGGTCAGAGATGGAGCCGACCAGGGACGTCCTCAGAGGGAGGTATTTGCCACACAGAGTGGTTTATGCAGTTGGAACATTTGTGGATTCGAGTAGCGTTACGTTGGAGTCTATAATGAAGCACAAAACACTACGGTAAATTCGCGTAGATTTGGGCTGCATTGATATGCAAGTGAACATGATGAGTACATCAGAAATGACAGGTAAGGTTATCAACGCGCGCTCCAAAGACATGCCCGGCACAGCTTGGTTCAAGTTAAATTACGACATATAAAGACAGCCTGTTCCCGCATGAGTAGGAATATACCGATATACATGCAGCACCGATCTCTGCAGTTGCTATGCCCATTGGTATGACGATGATGACTGCTGGTGCTGGTGGAATGACTATGATCATCTTTGCTGTGCATGACCATTTCTACGGCGGAAATGGCTTTGCGCGCGCGTTCTCACACCACAACGAGGATCATGTTCTCCTCGCACACCGCCGCTCTACCGCACATGTCGCGCGTCCACGCGCTGAGTATCACACTCAACACCACCTGATGTCCGCGCCAGCAGCTTACGTGTGGAAAGAGCACTCGCAGTCGCCCCGCATAGAAGCACGCATACAGATGGCAGCCAGACCATGGCTGCGCGACTGGAGTGGCGTCGCCTGCTCCTGCCTTTATAGGCGCTGGTCCCGCGCCGGCAGCGCCGGCCTGCCGCCCAAAGGTGTATGGCGTGCAACATTTCCTCGATATCGTCATCAAACAATGGAATGCTCTCCAAGCCCCAACGGCGAGCCCCCCCCCCCCCCTCCCTTCCTCCCCCAATGCTGGTGGCATGCTTTCCTTGTTGGAAAGGGCGAAGCATGCAGTCCGTGGAATCAGCCTTGGCGACATGTCCTTACAGCGATGACTGGCGCGCACGAGCATGATACTGGTGAAACCGATAGGAAACTGTTGGACGTGATTTGGGACGTTCCAACTGACGGAGCATGCGTCACAGTACTGGGCTGTGCTTAGAAGTGGCAAGGCTGGGTTGTGCTTAGAAATGGCAAGGAAGTGGCAAGGAGTACTGTAGCCTCATGGGTCGCTCCAAATAAAACAGCAATTATCCGGAAGCAACACGTTTTGTGCAACCGTACTCTGCGTACTATTCCATTGAATGATCAATATGTTTCTTGTCCTTTCGCTTCGAAGGATACAATTAGCGGCACGAAGTCTTCATGCGCTGATCATAATGTTTCCATCCATTTTAGGTTCTTCAGGTTGCTACGCACCCTTTGGGGCATACATGCGACACCTAATATCAGCTTCCATAGCCGTTGTCAAGTGGTTCAGGCACCCCACCCCAGACGTGGGTGACAGGTACCCGGGCTAGAGTCCCAGAGGTGGCTGGTTGTTTGACCTGACATATGTCAGGTGGATGCAGGTGGATGGCTCTCCACTGCTGCATAGCATGGCCGCATCAAAGCATTGGCTGACACGTAAAAGCTTCCCCGCACAGTCGCATGCAAATTGTCTGTCGACCTGGATGAACCGTCAGTCTCCAACAGTTGTCTCTACAAGCTGTCCGAGCGGAAGTAAAATATGGCCAATATTTTCTCGGAAAGGCTACTTAAACCATGGATCAACACAAGAAACACTAAGAGACAATTATGGAAGACGTTCACGCCTTGTGAGTACTAACAACACTCTTCTTTAAGCGTTCATGCAGTCTGCATGTTGACAGCGATGAAGGACGCGGAATCGGGACATCTAAACAAGCACGTTAAAGGTGTTTTGCAGCACTCGCTGTGCACGGTGCTGCACTCTTTTACTTCTGACCGATACGCACACCTGGTGAACTCTTGTTGCCCGAACAAGGACTGCTCACGAAGGGCCTCCCGCAAGCTCATGGTCTTCTGATTACTGCCGTGGGCCCCGGTAGCTGCTGGCACATACTCCGACGTATCGACATTCCGTCGATTTTCTCCAGATGAGTCGTTAATTTTAAACGGCCAAGAACCACGTGATCGACGCATGACAAGATAGCGCGGATAGTAATTCCGTTCTTTTCACAGATTTTGTAGCCTCATAGCTGTGAGATGAGAACACGACGAAAATTATTGCTACTTGATGTATTCGAAGTATTAGTGTTATATGAACATCATTAAACCAATTGTTCATGCAAACGAATATCACACATAAAACGACTATGCAACTTAGATTTGATTGTTTCGGCCAGGCTTTCCTTGAGACGCCCAATCCCCTGTTGGCGTTTCATGGGATGTCTAAAATAACATACAAGTATAACCATCAAGTAAATAGCGTAATAGTGTGCTTGCAGAGCATTTGCGTGACTTTGTGGTCGTCTATAAGCATTTCCTAGGCACCGATGATGTGGACTATGTGCAAGTCACCTTGTCGTCTCTGATTGCGTGTAGTCATCTGTCACTTCCCAGAGACGCTGATAAAAGTCATTTAATTAGGTAATCCGAGGAAACTTTTGGGGGAGAATGAATGTGTGAACATGATCAAACTCGCGACAGATTTCAGATTTCACTACAATGCCAGCGCCAGTAGAGTTTTATAAACCGTGTGATGTACCTGGATGATCGATTCCTGGATTAGCTATTGGCCCCCATCACATACACAAATGTTCCTCTTGGGCGCAACAGAATCCTACTCCTGGTCATAAAAGGGCCCATGCTAATCCGTGGAGGGTTTCCCGCCCTGCTGTATCATAACTCTATGCACTATGAAGAACACCACCTACCTTGCAATGATCTTCAACTATCCAAGACGTCCACAGTACAGGATCTTTTCGGCCTTCTCAGTTGTGTCTTGCTTATGACGGGACATCTTGCCTTATCTTGGCTCTCCATCACACACGGTCCTTACGCTATCACCTCGCTCACGACATGCATTGCGGAAAATGTGTGGAGCTTGTTGATTATAGAACATGTTTCTCCTCGGAAATATCAGCTTCCCCTTTGGAAATTAATGGGACGCCTCGTTAGCCTGGAAAAAAAAACTCTCTCCCTTGTAGCACAGCCTGAACTGATTCGCCTGATCTGCACACTCAAGTCGCCTCCTGTACTAGGGTGAAGTCCCCTCTCGGCTATGGTGTGGTCGTACTGCCGTACCTTGGGCCTCATCTAAGACACTTACATTGTTGAGGCCTCTTGTTATTGATAGTAGCGGCCTCCTGCAGCGCTGGCTGTTCTCGGCCATGTCATATATATCCATTGTCGGGGTCTCCTCCCCACTTCAGCCATATGTTATCGGTCGCAAGTTAAAAGTCACGATCGAGTCTCTTCTTGCATTATTGCTGCCGGCCTTGTACACTAGAAATATCATGGTTTTCCGAGTACCCACGTAGAATTTCGGATTAGGCAAACATGTGTGTCCGCTTACGCTGTATGACAGCATAGTGGACGGCCGCTCACATTACCCACCCTGTGGCGTCTTTGCGGCTGAACAATGAATTCGCTTTTAAATAAATCAATCATCGCACGAATTCGGATCATGACCTATCTCAGCTGCAGACTAGTGACATCCACAGGATTCAGGTGATGGATGTTTAGAACAATAGCTGCGCAGGGTGACTAACATACCGCACACAACATAAAATATATACATTACATTACATTATATACATTATACATTACATAGCATACAACATACCGCACACGGGTAAGGATCATAATCGTTCTCCCTTTGCACACCAGGGACAATGAGATTAGCAGTTATGCACCATACGCAAAATACACGATGGTCTTGCTAGCCTGAGACCTATGCGTCATCACTGTCACGCGCTTGTTTCATGTCCTTGCTAAGCTCAGGCCCACGCGTCATCCTACCGCGCGTTTGTTTGATGCTTCTGCTTTCCTAAGGCCCGCGCGCCATTCTACCATGTGTTTGCTTTGTGCCTCTGCTTGCCTAAGGCCCACGCGTCATGCTGCCACGCGTTTGTTCAAAATTGCAATGCATTTACGCCAGCCGCAGACAATGGCATTCTGTGTGGAGCAGCCCGGCTGTGTTTCACCTCGGTTCACAGCGTCCGAGCAAACCCGTGACTGGCGAGTGTGATGCGGCCAGACAGCCTGACTAAGCGAATTTTGAGATTCTTTTGTGATTGTGTGTCGGTGACACGCACCTGGTGCGGTGGCCGGCTTGAGCTAAGTGCAACTTCTCCTTTGCCTTTCACTGTCGAGCAGGCTGAGCCTCGCAGGTGGCGAGGCGCCACCAAGGCCAGACCCGCGCATGTTTTTCAGGTAAACCCGCCCTGCACTATGCTCCTGCCGAATGCGGGCCAAAAAGTACCCCAAACATGCGGGGATGATGACGATAGTGATGGACAAATATCATAGGGATGCCTTTTTACTTTGCCTCTTGTTCGATAGGGAAGTATTGCCTCTGGAGATGGGACAGCGCTCCAATCGTTCCATCAGGCTCGAGCGACAGTTTGGCAGCCAGTGCGGCCGTCAATCAGTGCGCTACGAGCTGGGTAACGACGCGTGCCAGGCATGAAATCAAAATCAGCGTTTAAAAAAATAGAAGTTTCCTGCCGACCAGCCTTGTGAAACTGATGACGTCGGCACGGAATCCAGCGAGTCTATTATGAAACTGCTACTGGATGGCAGCTTTGATAGAAATACAAAATGAACGGCATTCTAGCGCCGAATCATCAGTTTAATGCTGCGCAATGCGCGTACGATTGCAATACTTCATTGGGACAAACTGTGGCCCAAGTTAAGTTTTCCCGTATCCCAAGGTTACTATTGGTTTCCGCACCCATCATGCGATTAAGGAAAATATGTGTGTATCCATCAAGGAAGTGGTGCTGATGTTGACCTACTTGTGTAATTGTACAAGTGTGAGGTAAAACCGGTAAAAGGAAAGCTCCGTTAAAATATTCCGGTAACCTCGGCCCCAGTTTTCTCGTCATATCCTGAACATCTCTGACTTGACAAACTATGTGTCTTTATGGCTTGAAGCTTGTGATCAGATGCGATGAAATACTGATCTAGGAGACTGCAGGAATGTAATGCACCGGGAGACGCGCCCCAGCCCTGTTACACGAGGGAAGATGAGCGGCCCTGTACTGACGTCGCTGCGGCATAGTCACGGAACAGAATATGTTATCAAACTGACCGAGCCTGAAACGATCGCTGTGGACTGGGGCATATGATAGCAGCGTGCTTTTGAAGATCACCCTGGTCAACGACATATTGTTTTCTAGGTGTTGATATTTATTGATGGTGCTTATAAGATATTTATAGTTTTTTTATAGGTGTTAGAGGTATCTGGGTGTTTATATGTGCATGTGTTTTATTTTGATGGACTGCATGGCTGCTTCCATTGCTTCCGGAAACTGCGTTAGTAACAAACACAGGTCTGTCAGGATGGTAGAAGACCAATGATTGCAGCACTGTTCTGGAAATTGCTTCATCACACGAATAACGCTTCAAATCGTGCGATGATGTCACTATGTGCCCTCTCCAGAATCAGCTGACGCAATTTCAGCAACAAAGTAGACGTCGCTACGAAGTAGTTACGCCATAATTTGGTTGCGACGATTTTAGTTGATGATGTGGCTACGTCTATACAGCTTCAACAGACTGAAGTATAACTTCATACATGATTACGTATTGAAGTGTT